GTGTGTGTGTGTGTGTGTGTGTGTGTGTGTGTGTGTGTGTGTGTGTGCGTGCGCGCGCACGTGCGCATGTGGGAGACAGTGTGTATGTTTACATGAACCCAAGACCCTGGTGGAGGCATTGAACTTGGCTGTCAGCCTCTGCTCGGCGATTCTGCATTGTTGTGTATCCTGAAGTCCGCCATGGAGGACATTTACCCGAAGATCCAAGCCTGAATGTCCTTGCACACTTCAGCATTTTAGCTTTTTAATCTCCCACCTGAAATCAGACTCATTTTGGAGGTTTATATTTCTCCTCACTGTCTCCACAAATCACAAACCCCACCCCCCCAACTTCCCAACCTCTGCAATCCCAAATCATTGAGACTTATTTTGTACTGAGTACACATTTCAAAGCCATTAGTATGCCTGAGATTAATTACCTTTAATGTTTTTGGACAGGCAGTACTTTGAAATTTTGAAATTGCAAAAGAACATCCAAGATGGGATTAAGCGCCTGAAGAATTTTATGCAGGTGATCGATAAAATAATGAAGGAAAGGCACAAAGTGTATGAAAGCTTCCTGAAGTAATTGTCACAGTTTATTCAGTAAATATAATTGCATTTGTTGAGTTATAATTAAAGTGCTTTTGTATTTTGCTTCTTCTTGAAAATATTGTGTCTGTCATGTCCTTGTAGATGAGTTGGGTATGACTATCTAGCTTCTTTGCATAGTTGGTGCAAACTTGAAACACAGAATTCTGATGCTCCTGGCTGGAAAGTTGCAATAGATTCTTCTCCGTAATGCTAACTTTCTGCAGAGATGCAATGCTTGCATCTTGAAATTAAGCAGGAACAAAAGGCAACAGATGACTGCATCTTGTTCAATTGCCTTACACCCACAGCTACATGACTTGTTTTTGATATTGGTGAGGAATTGAATGTTGATGGTTTTACTTGATGAGATATCTGGTTTGATCTTAAGTTTTATTTGATTAAATGTTGTTTCTGACAACACCAAGAAACAACCAATTTGTTATAATCAACTGCCCGTAATTTATTGACCAGCGCGGCACTATCTCCTGGATGATCTCCTTCTCTTGTGAACTATCTTGTTAACTTAACTATACAAACAGTGCTATATAAATGCAAGCTGACTGGCAATAGTCCAGGTATTCTAATTGGTCAGCAAGTTATTGGAACTGTATAGATTGGATTGCATATTGGCCCATGTGGAATCTTAGATATAGCTCGAATAAATGTATTAAACATGTTCTCTCTATACTGTTCCTGCCCAACAAAGGTTATTTATTATCATTCTTTCTTCTAGGAAATTGCCCAGCATAATATATAGTATCTGTTGTATATTATTGTTTTAATCATGATGGTATTTTCTCTCCATGTTTGAATTAAATAGGTCCATGTCAATTCGTTGCAAACTTAACTTCAGTACTTTGTTGTCTAAGCAACAGTATCATGGAATGATCAAATTCGACCATAAGAATAGAGATCTTTCAATCATGGTGAGTTATTCACAGTTTATTTGAAGACATACTTTGAGGAAAATGTTACACAAATGTAGAAAAATACTGTAGCCAAAAATATATAAAAATGTATACAAACACTAATACAAAAGAACAGTACTGCAGATGTCAGAAAGCTGTTTATAAAAAAGCAGGAAAAAATCTGAAAATGGTCAACAGGTCGGGAAGTAACTGCAGGCATGACCTTTTATCAGGAATTAATTAATTAATCATAATTAGCACTTCTCTCTGCATGTCAGTTATAGGCACCAAATAATTAGCATGTTATCAAGAGCAAATAGCTACATGCAGAATTAGTCAGTGTTGACAAAATAACTGATATTTCCCACAGATGATGATAATCTTATAAAGTAGAAAGATAGAAGAGTTACACTGGAAATCTCATGATAAATAAACTTAAAGGTGCCTTTTTGAGGGAATTAGAGTTAAATGGGGAATTCAGGAGAATATTACATGAATGAGAAGCATATGAAAGAAAAACAATACAGGTGGGTGATGCAAATTATCTTTACTATGAGATACTGAAGACCAAGAAAGCTTTGGAAGAGTGATAAAATGTGATGGAGGTCTATTGATTGAAATAGGTCTTAAGGGTGGTACATGAACTTTCAAGGCTAGTTATCATGATGAGTGGATAGTACTGGGCTCGTCCAATGAATCACTATAGTTTGATGAAACGACCCCATACTTCACTTTGAGAATTAATTATAAGGGGTGAATGTTGGAAACCAGTACAACAGTTGTAGGATTTCCATACAATATACAAAATTAATGGACCAGAAAGACCCGTTGCTTCATCAAGTTGCCGCATTTGGATTTAGCTTGCTGCAACAGGTCTGTGTCATACATCATGGCAGAGCATCATTTTTAAACTGGTTCTGTCCTGTTACCCAACTGCTCCCATCCCATAGCTACATAATCCATTGGAAGGGACAAAATCTCAGAGAGAAAAAAGGGTCTTAATACTACTCGGCAAGATTCCAACTTCCTCAGGTGATCAAGCAGTTACACTGCAGGTCCCGAGAAAAGTAAATATAAAGGTGCTGACTTCAGGGAATTAAAGTTAAATGAGGAGTTCAAGAGAAGAATAAGTGAACAAGAAGCATATGAGAGAAATATAATACAGGTGGGTGCTACGCATCATGTTTGCTATGAGATGCTGAAGATCAAGTGTTATCAAAATAAGTACTTTCCTCCTATATAATGCAATCTCTGCTCCAATCAAGAACAAATACATTTCCCTCTTGAAGTGCAGACAAAGTCAACATCCTCCACACTGTCCACTTGAGAAAGAAGATGCTATCCTACTCTGAGATAATTAAAACTCATGCCTGGACCTTGTTAGTCTGCTGACTAACACAAACTTATCAATAAAGATGCCATTCAGTCCTTTGATTTTACAGACGTCTATCTATGTCAGTTTCATGCCATTTTAAAGTAAACAAACATTGAAGAGGTAATTAGTAAATGATGAATATGTTGGGCTGTTTCCAGTTTTAGAATTTAGTCACATATGAAGTGGACAGCCACAGAGAGGGAAGTTTTTATTTCCATGTAATAGAAGGCAACTAATTCAATAAATTATTTGTGTAATCAACTTTGGGAATGGCGAACTGTCCACCTCCCCATTATTTCCTGTCCACTCTATGAGCTCACTTTCTAAGCTTTCTTTGAAAAATCTGATTTTCACAATCTGTACATTTAAGTCAATCATGATTGTTGTGGTATATTTCCCACATGCCTCATTTCTTTTTTTATGTATCCTCTGACCTACAGTGTAACTCCTGCTATGGGAACCTACAAACATACCCCACAAGGAGCCTTCTGCTTTTACCATTTCCTATCTTTATCCAAACTGATTCTACATTTGTTCTTGTTCTTTCAAGTTAAGGTCATCTTTCAGCATTGAACAAATGTCATCTTTGATTAACAGAACAACCCCACCACTTTTCCAGTGTTTTGTGTTTGTAATACATCAATTACGCTTCCACATTCACGCCCCAGCCTTGATCGCCTTTCATTGGTGTGTCTGTGATGGGTATCAGGTCACATGTATTTATCTGCATCCCCTATGTTCCAAAAGCTGCATGCATTCAAATACAGCTTTTATTTTTACTGTTCCTACAATGTCTAGTCTCATCTGCTTAGATGCTGTCAAATTGAATGTTCTGTTCGTTTCTGTCACACTCTAGTAATCATTACACAAATTGCTGCCTTGCTCTTTTGCTTTCCTGTTTGCCTTTACCATACCTTGTCTCACATAAATCCTTCCCTCAACTATTTAGTTTAACAATCTCTCTCAACTAGTTATATGATTCACCAGAACTCTGATCCCAGCACGTGTAAACCATCCAATTGATAGAAGTCCCACTTTCACCAGCGCTAGTTCCAGTGTCCCAGGAATCAAAACATTTCAGGTCCACTGACCCTTCTTCAGAACTTCTTTGATGTGTTTCTCTCCATAGATGCCACTAGACCTGCTGAGTTTCTCCAGTAATTTCTGTTTTATTTTCCAATTTCCAACATCTACGGTTCTTTGTTTCTTGTTTTCCCTGAAAGCCAGGCATCCATCTCTCTAATCTTATTTAACTCTATGTCTGTTTGTTCATGGATAAGGTAATAATCCAGAGATTTTTACCTGAGCAATGGACAAATTGGAATGTGGTAAATAAGATTAGAGAAATGAATGATTACATTTGAGGTGCTGCTTTCTACTTTAGTCAGCAGCTGCTCACAATCCCCAAGCAGTTCTCCTTTCCAAATTATGCCATTGATACCTACATAGACCATGGCCACTGGATCCTCCCACTCCCAATTCAAGTTCCTATCCAGTCAAGAGCAGACACCATGAATCCTGGCACCAGGCATTCAACATGGGCATCTGGGATCTCATTCTGGGTTGCAGAGAACCATGTCTAACCCCCTGACTATGCTATCACCTACTACCACCACATTCCTATTAACTCCACTTGCTTGAATGGCACCCTGTACCATGATGCCATGACCAGTTTGCTCATCCACCCCATAGCTGACATGTTTATCCATATAGGCTGCAAGACCTTTGAACCTGTTGGACAATTACAAAAGTCCCCTTTGCATCCTGGGTCCCCATACCTGCCTCAATCATATTCACACAATTAATGCATTATTACAGACAAAATTAGAAGACCCTATCTTAATGGATGTTATTGTCTCCTGGAGTAATGTGTCCAAGTAACTTTCCTGCTCCCAGATTTATTGTACTAACTGCAGCTTGGCCTCCAGCACATAAACTCTAAGCTAAAGCTCTTCAAATGATGAATACCTACTGCAGATGTGTTTGCCCTGGATGACACTGGCATACAGAAGCACTCACATCCTACAGTCGCAACACAGCACCAACCCTGTCAACTTTAACTGATCGTATGATGCAGGAGCAGGGTTATCCCATCGAGTCTGCCATTCAGTGAAACCAAAGCTGATCTGATAATCCTTAACTTCATATCAATGCGTTTTCCCATAACCCTTTATTCCTTTCCTGATTAAAAGTCTGTCTATCTCTCTTGAATGTGCTTAACAACATAGCCTCTACAGCACTCTGCAATAAAGAACTCCACAGGTTCACACCCCTCTGAGAGAAGAGACTCCTTCCCACCTCTGCCTTAAAAACATTGACACCCTATTCTTAGATGATGCCTTCTGGTCTGAGACTCTCCCACAAGGGGGATCAACTTCTTCAATCTGCCTTTTTTAAGCTAATAAGAATCTTTTATGTTTCAATTTGGTTGCCTCTTATTCTTCTCCATTCCAAATTATTCCACCTCTCCTCATAAGGTAGTCACTTGAAACTTAAGATCAGTGTAGTGACTCTTCTCTGGATGGACTCCAATACCAGTGTATCTTTCCTTAGATATGGGGCCCAAAATGGCTCACAGTATTTCAGCTGTGATCTGACTAATGCTTTGTAAAATTTTAGTAAACCTTAACCCTACATTTATATTCCTTTCCTTTTGAAATAAAGGCCAATATTCCATTTTCCACCCCTATTATCTACTGAACATGTATGCTAGCTTTTTGAGATTTATGTACAGAAACCCAAACTCCTCTGTGCCATATCTTCCTGCAGTCTTTCTCTGTTTAAATAACATTGAGCTCTTCTTCCTGTCAGAGTGCATAATCTCATATTTTCCCACCTTATACTTCATCACCCATTTAATCTGTTTATATCCCTCTGTAAGCACCTTGCATCATCTTTGCCAATTGTTACCCATAAATTTTTGTATCATCTGCAAATGTGGGCACAGTTTATTCACTTTCATCATCTAACTCATTAACATACATCATAACTAATTGCAGCTGCAAAACTGATATGCCACACCATTAGTTGCAGGTTGCCAATCTTAAAATGCACCCCTTATCCCATCTGTGTCATTTGCCAGTCCACTACCCATGCCAATATACCACCGCTAATACCATAGGCTCCTAATTAGCAACCTAATGTGGTACTTTATCAAATGTCTTCTGAAAATCCAAATATATTATATCCACTGCACACCCTTTATCTATCGTCAAAGAATTCTACTAAATTCATCAAGCATGATTGCCCCTTTATGAAGCCATGCTGTTTCTACTTGATCATTGCATGCTTTATATCAGACTCTAACATTTCCCTGTAACAGGCTGGCCTACATATTTTTTCTGTCTCCTCTTTTCAAATAAATGAGCAGTTTACTAATCTTCTGGGTCTTTCCAGAATTTAAGGAAGATTACTATTAGTACATCCACTATTTCTGTAGTCACTTCTTTTAAAACCTGGTGTTCTGTGTGAAGTTTTGGTTCCATTATCTGAGGAAGGATGTTCTGGCTATGGAGGGAATGCAACAAAAATTTAACAGACTAATTCCTGGGACGGCAGGACTGACCTATTAAGAGGGTTAGAAGTATTTTCACTGGAGTTTAGAAGAATGAGGAAGATTTTTTTTAAACTTAAAAATATACTTTATTCATAAAAAAAATTATGCAAAGTCACAAATGCAGTTCAGTTCTGTGCAGTAGAATATCAAGGAAACAAACAAACATTGGAGTTTGACTCTATCCAAACAAACCAAAGGCATCTCTTATATGAACCAGACTTCATTTACATGAATTTGAGGCACCAGGAGGGTGTGATAACTGAACGGATGCCCATTTAACTTCTGCAGGAAGACCTCAGACAGTGGTCTTTCCCAACTGTGTCTTGGTGGCAGCTGCCCCAAGCTTTAGTGCGTCCCTCAGCATATAGTCCTGCACCTTTGAAAGTGTCTGTCTGTAACACTGAGTCGCGATTAATTCTTTGTTCTGGCAGACCAACAAGGTTCGGGCAGACCAAACAGCATTGTTAGAACAATGAGGAGGAGTCTCATAGAAACCTATAAAGTTCCAACAGGACTAGACAGGGTAAACCCAGGAAGGATGTGTCTGAGCAGTGCTGGGGAGTGATGCACCGTGAGAGGTACTGTATTTTCAACGGAAAGTTAAATCAGGGAGTTGTCTACTCTTTCAGGTAGCTTTAAAGGATTTCACAACATGCTTTTGAAGAAAAGCAAGAAAGTTGTACCCAGCGCCTGACTAATGTTTATCCTGAAATCGACATTATAAAGAAACAAATTATCTAATTGTCGTCACATTGCTGTTTGTGGGAACTTCTTGTATGCAAATTCACTGCTGCCTTTTCTGCATTAGAAGAGTGACTACATTTGAAAAATGTTTCACTAGCTGAAGAAATGCTTCAAGATGTTAGTGGGTCAGAAAAGGCAATTTATAAATGCAAGTCTTTCTTTTCAAGTTGTTGGAAATGTCTTATTGAAGGTTGAATGTGGAGAAGGAATGAAGACAACACAAGGTGATACAAGATTCCTTTCTGGAGGTGAACGCTCCTTCTCAACTGTTTGCTTCATTCTTTCGCTGTGGGACACCATGGAGTCTCCTTTCTGTTGTCTGGATGAGTTTGATGTTTATATGGTACGTTTATATTTAAAGTCACTTAATCTCCTGGTTGCTAAAGGTAAAAAATAGCAACATTCATTGTAATTCATTATTTTACCCTTCTGTGGGGACATGAAATGTTTGGCATTATTGAGTCAATTTCTAAACAATATTTTCTCCAGTTGAAATAGGCATAGCATCATGTTAAGCTTTAAAAAGGTTTGGAAAATCTGTTTGCTAAATGGGTCTTTTTTGAAGGTGTTTTGGCTCAAGCAGTTTTTCTGTAATGCATGCTTTTGTGAATTATTAGCTGTACCTTTTAAATTTTCTGACAACTGTATTAATTTGAGGAATGTGTTCATCAACATTTGTAAGTTTACAGAAGTTTTCTGAATTCGTATAATACAGCCATATGATGGCACATCACTCGTGACGTACATCAAGCAACCTCCAAGAATAGCTAGGACTTTCAGAAACTATAAACTTCAATTTCTGAGGAACAGACTGGCGGCTGCTTGTATGTGATTTAGTTGCAAAGGTTAGAAAGTCAAACTTTTGGTTTGCACTTTCCTTGGTTGAACGGTTATTGTGTATTGAATGGAGAAGGTCTTAATTTCGAAATCAAGTTAATTTATGTATTTAACCTTCAGGAAGGTCTTTGCACTCCACTTAGGGAGGTGAATCAAAGGCAGAACTACCTCATCACATCTTTATGTGTCTATGCCACCATTTTGACTTTTGACTGGTGTTTGCAACTCGAGCTTAAAGATCAAATCTCATTTCTTTCTTGTAGTACATCATTTATTTTAATTTGTGAAAAGGCTCTACTAACTTTCAGCATTTCTCCCGAGATATGTTGTTCTCCTTTTATGATTACTTCTGAGTTAAGTTGACGAAATCTTAGAATTCAAGTTGAGTCGGTAAATGTAAAGCTATGATTTCTTCACCTTAGAGACCTGTGAATGCAAAGGGAATTAAAATGTTTAAAAAGTGCTTGAAACTGGAAAGCAAGTGCATTAAAGGAAATGGAGAAATGCAAAAGATTAAAATGGCAGAGCACGTCTGATAATCTGTAGAAATTGCTATTCTGAAATTATATACATATTTGTATCAAAAACAGAAATCGCTGGAGAAACTCAATTGGTCCAATAGCATCTATGGAGAGAGAAAACAGAGTTAATGTTTTGAGTCCAGTGGCCCTTTTTCAGAACCCAATTTGACTCAAGAAGTTAACTTTGTTTTCTCTCCACAAGGCTGTCTGACCTGCTGAGTTTATCCAGCAATTTCTGTTTTTGTTTCAAATCTCTGGCATCTGCAGTTTTATGTATTTATATCCTTGTTCAATCCTAGGATATGGTTAATCGTAGAATTTCTATTGACCTGATATTGCGGGTGGCCGATTCTATAAAGTGTGATCAATTCTTCTTTTTTACTCCACTGACTACAAGGTACAGTAAGACCATTTTCTTTAATGAAACAGTAAATTGATTTATGGCCTTGTGTTAAATGAATGTAAGTGTCAAACACATTACTAACCTGATTTCACATTATTAATTCTCAAATTTGTCCTTGTTTAGAGGCTAGATTCTAGAAAACAAAGCCTTGACAGCAATACCGTACATTCTGAGATTTCACATGCAGTTTCTTTTCCTGGTTACATATATTCTCAAAAGTCAAAGCCTTCCAGGTCTAGTTGGAGGCACGAAGGAAACTTAATTAGGCAAGATGGTGGCGTAGCCCAGCATTAAACTGCCTTAGCCAAATCAAATCCTGAGAGGGATTGTCCAAGCTCCACATACGCACCTAGGCTACAATTCTGTCAGACAGAGTTGGCCTACTTGATTAGTTAACCACAATGGGCAGGCAGTCTGTCAAGAGATGGGGCAGTTCCCTTGATCTGTGCATAACTGAGGGACTGGTGTGAGGTAGAATAGGAGATCCAACTTCCTGCTGTTGCTTCCAATCCCCATGGTAGACCTTTCCCCATGACTCTGACAAAACAACACAACATTTGCATGGGCTGTCCTCCATCCTGGGAGTCCCAAGGGCTATTTTACTGCCTGCAGCCTCTGATTGGATGGAAGCTTTTAGTTTACATTTCCAGGTCCTGATTCCAGTTGAAATTCACGGTTGCCAGAAGATCCAATGGATTTTCACATTCTGACAGACTATGGGTTTCCTTCCTCCACTCCCTCCTGCTTTCTAATATACTCAGAAAATGGGAAGTTGTCACCTTTTATTTGGGAAGGAGTCAGATACGTTAGAGACTTTTAAGCGACTCTTGGATTGGCACATGGAGGATAGTAAAATGTAGGGTATGCAGGATAGTTTGATCTTAGTAGGATAGTAGGTCAGCACAACATTGTGGGCTGAAGGGCCTGTTCTGTTCTATGTTCTATGTTCTAAGATCTGTATCAACCACTGATAGGAAAGCCATACAGTGTGCAAGGTAGCATCAGTTCAGCTACATACCAACCAGAAAAATAATTTCCAGTAATTTGGTGGGAATGACAGTCCATTTTTGAGGCAATGCTCTCTACTGCAACATAATTTTAAATTATAGCATTGCTGCTGAATTTAGGTTTGTTGATGGAGCTAATTCTGTGATTTAAAGGCGTTTTGCAAATATTACTTGGGCTCTCCCAATGGTATAGTTGGGATTCAATGCATTGCTTGGCATTGTTACGTTACATACAGATCAGGATGATACCAGATTAAATCTTAGCTTCTGATATTTCAGCTTCCTATTATGTTCTTGGGCATTGCGCGCGTGGTTCACTTGGATTTAGTATCATCAACCACTACTCTATGAGGTTCACTCAACTTTGCTTTTACTCATCCAATATCTAGGTCAATGAGACACTTCCTATCATGTAATTCTCCTCATCTTCAAAAGGTTCAATCTACCTTCTATCAAGGGGAAGCTCAGGCTATAAATCAACAGAGGATATAAGTGTGGGAAAAGAACAACATGTTATCAAAAAGAAAGTGCATGTATTATGGAGAATTACCAAAGTGTTATGGCACCAAAAGAGGCCATTTGGCCCATTGTGTCTACACCAGCTCATTAATTGAGCATCATTATTTAGTGCCAAGCTGCTTCTATTTTCCTGGACGCATGTGTATTATTTTTATCCAAATAATCATCCAATTCCCACTTGAACCTGTTTGCGCCATACTTCCAGGCTGTGATTTCCGTACCCAATTACTTGCTGAGTGAAAAAGATTTTCCTCACTTCACCCTTGGTTTTTCTGCAGATCACTTTAAAGCTGTGCCCTCTCATACTCGCTCCTTTCATGAGGGGAAACAACTTCTCCTGACCTACTCTATTCAGGCCATTCATGATTTTGAAAATTTCCATCAGGTCTCCTCTTAGCCTTCTCCTCTCCAAGGAGAACAGTCCCAATTTCTTCAATCTATTCTCATGGGCAACATGGTGGCAAATTGGTTGCAAAGGCTGCCTCACAGCACCAAAGACCTGGGTTCAACTCTAACCTCGGTCGACTGTCTGTGTGGAGTTTGCATGTTGTCTGCCTGGGTTTCTGCCGGATGCTCTAGTTTCCTTCCACAGTCCAAAGATGTGCAGGTTGGTGCATTAGCTCTAAATGTGGGGTTGTAGGAATTGAGCATTGTGGCTCTGGGTGGGATGGTCCTTGGGTGTTGGTATGGACTCAATGGATCGAATAGCCTCTATCTGCACTGTAGGGATTCTGTGATTCATAAATGAAGTTCCTTGTTTCTGGAATATTTTTCCAATATGTGGTGCCCAGAACTGTACACAATAATCCAGCTGAAGTCTAACATGTTCAACATCTTCTCCTTGCTTTTGGACTGTATGCCCCTGTGAATAAACCTGATGGAATTGTATGCTTTACTTACTACACTCTCTACCTCTCCTGCCACTTTCAATGAGACATGCACATATATACTCAGGTTCCCCTTACTCCTGTACCCTCTCTTAGAATTGTACCCTCTTTTATATTGTCTTCCAAATCCCTCTTACCAAAAAGCATAACATCACACTTCTCCGCATTGAAACTCATCTGCGACCTATCTGTCTACTCCACCAATTTGTCTATGTCCTTCTAGAGTTCTATAAATTCTCGTGACAGTTTACAATTCTTCCACGTTTTGCGTTGTCTACAAACTTCAAAATTAGCCACTGCACACTCAGATCAAGATCATTAATAAATATCAGGATATGGGCACCTGGGGAACACCACCACAAACCTTTCTCCAGCCTGAAATATATCCATTAACCATTACTGTCTGTTTCTTATCACTCAGTCGATTTTGGAACCATGTTGCTACCATTCCCTTTTATTCAATGAGCAGTAGCTTTCCTCAAGTCTGTGCTGTGGTACTGTATTAAACACTTTCTGAAAATCAATGTACGCAACATCAATAGCATTCCGTTCTTTGAAACTTTCTATTACCTTTTCAAAACCTCCAGCAGTTAAACATTTAGAAATCCATGCTGACTCTTCTTAATTAACACACCCTTTTCCATGTAACTATTAAGTCCATCTGACCAATTATCTCCAGAAGCTTCCCCAACACAGAAGTTAAATTGCTGGGATTATCCTCACAGCCTTTCTTGATCAATGTCATAATTTTTTTTCAATTTTACAGTCTTCTGGCACATCTGCGAGTCTAGGGAAGACTGTGAGATTCTGGACAGTGTTCTCATTTAATATCTTTTAAATTATCTCAAGCTATCCTGGTGCCTCGTCAAATGTATAAACACTCGATCCAACACTTCTGCCTTATCAACTTGAACTGTTCTAGTAACTGAGTTCCTCCTCTGTCACCGTGGTCTGAGCAGCATTTCTATTTTTGGTGAAGACAGATGCAAGACATTGATTTAATGCCTCAGCCATGCTTACACTCATAAGTGTAAATCTCTGTTTTGGTCCCTAATTGGCCCTACACTTTTCCTTTTATCACACTCTTACTATTTATAACGCTATAGAATATTTTGGAACCACCTCTTTATGTTGGCTGCCTGTTTTTTCTCATAATTCCTCTTTGCTTCTCTTATTTATCTTTTCAACTCCCTGCTGAACCATCGATATTGGTTTTCCTTCTCAATCTTGATTTTTACCTGACACTTGTAAGCATACTTTTCTTCTTTGTAAGAACAAAGAACAAAGAACAGTACAACTCAGGAACAGACTATCAGCCCAGCAAGCCTGTGCCTACACATGACACCTTTCTAAACTAAAAGTCTTTTGCCTCAACATGGTCCATATCCCTCTATTCCTTACACATATCTGTCAAGATGCTTCTTAAAGGCTGCTATTGTATCTACTTCTACAGCCTCCTCTGGCAGCACATTCCAGACATTTCAGTCTGTGCCTCTCACATCTCGTTTAAACTTCCCCCACTCCCACTTTCATCTTAAACCTATGTTCCCTACTAACTGACATTTCTAATCCCTAGCAGAGCATAAAGGCAGTCGGAGTATACTTAAGAGAGAAATCAGGAGGGCAAAAAGGCGACATGAGAGCGCTTTGGCAAATCGAGTTAAGGAGAATCCAAAGGGATTCTACAAATACATTCAGAGTAACTAGGGAGAGGTTAGACCCCCTTAAAGGTCAGCAAGGCCATCCTATGTGTGGAACCGCAGGTGATGACGGAGATACTAAACAAGTATTTTGCATCAGTGTTTACTGTGGAGATGGATATGGAAGATAGAGAGCATGGGGAAATAAAATATATAGCAATATCTTGAAAAATGTCCATATTACAGAGGAGGAGGTGTTGGATGGCTTAAAACACAGAAAGGTGAATAAATCCCTGGGATCTGATAACATGTACCCTAGAACTCTGTGGAAAGCTAGGGAACTGATTGCTGGGCCCCTTGCTGAGACATTTGTATCATTGATAGCCATAGGTGAGGTGCAGGAAGCCTGGAGGTTGGCTAACGTGGTGCCATTATTTAAGAAAGGTGGCAAGGAAAAGCCCGGGAATTATGGATCAGTGAGCCTGACATCAGTGGTGGGCAAGTCGTTGGAGGGAATCCTGAGAGACAGGATTTACGTGTATTTGGAAAGACTGATTAGGCTGACATGGCTTTGTGTGTGGGAAATTGTGTCTCAATAACTTAGTGATGGTGAAATCAAGCTAAGCATTACAATCAACAGTTAGGGGAGGTGATGGCCTAGTGATGTAATCACCGGACTGTTAATCTGGGGATCCAGGTTTGAATCCCACTACAGCAGATGGTGGAAATTGAATTCAATAAAAATCTGGACTGAAGAGTCTAATAATGACCATGAAACTGTTGTCAATTTTGGAAAAACCCATTTGGTTCACTAACGCCCTTCAGGAAAATAACTGCCATCCTTACCTGGTCTGGCCTACATGTGATTCCAGACCCAGAGCAATGTGGTTGAAACTTAACTGCCCTCTGGGACGGGCAATAAATGCTGGTCTTGCTAGCAACACCCTCATCCCTTCTTCACAAACATCCCATTCCTTACAACACAATGATCACTATCTCTTAAATGTTCCCTACCTCATTCCTAAGAATATTGTTGGACTGGACACATATTACTGTTGGAAGTTCTCTTGAATACAATCAAGGAATACTTGCCCCTTGCTGACCCATACGCTACAAGTATCCAGGACAGTGTCTGGGTAATTTTCAAACTACATTCACTGTTGTAATATAATACACAGCTGGGCCCCACAAATGGCAAACAGGGACAAAATATTCTGACTTAGATATTCATAATTAAATAGGCAGCGGCTTCAATTTTATATTTGATATATGGTTTTATACCAAAATATAAAGTGGGCGAATCATTTGTGTTGCTCAGACTCAACTTAGTTGTGCTTCTGGAAGTGTGGAGTGAAGCCAGGTGACAACAGCCCAGTTTAGGTAAATAACAGGTTCCAAATCGTGCATTAGATCAATGAGACTGTTTATTTGAATCCTGACATTGTTTCACATATTTAAAACAAACATTGTTTGATTTTGAGGAGTAATTCTGAAATGTTCCTGTTTCAGTTTCTTGCCTGAAGGTAACCAACTCAGAGTCTTACATCTGCAAGATCCTGAAAGAGGGCAGACAACACTATCTTTTGCCACTCCAGAAGAACCAGAAGACTCAAATGATTAAATGAACATTGACATTTATTATTGTGCACTTTTTTGATTTTTTTTTAAGTGGGGCAAGTGGACATTGGAAGCCTCTGGTGGCGTGGCAGGGATATATGGGGGGTGACAGGCTGTACTGTCGGAGTCTGGGTAACTATTGCATTCTGAAAATCATAAAAAGCTTCTTCAATGCATTTTATTAATACAGGGAAAGCTAGGCTGACAATTGCTATTTTCTGGCATTACAGACTGATTTAGTGGCGGCTAGTAGAGCTAATGCAAAGTTCTTAGAGGTGTAGCATTAGTAGGGTACATTTATAAGGCAAACACAGCTAAATTCAGAGGTACTGGGGAAAGTTCACCTAAAATTGCTAAGTGCTGAGCTTAGAACTGAGTTAAGCGTGAACCACTGGCACAACCACAACCATCAAGTACACAACATTGGTTAACTTTTGCAAATATGTTAACAGTGAACATTGATGCAGTGTCTATTATTTTGGACTTACGTTAGAAATATATCTGAGCAACGGTCTTGTGACAAATGTTATTGTTTTGTCCAATGTGAATGTATATGTGCAGCTTTTTTACAGTTTTATATTGTTTTGCCTAAAACTTATGAAACGGTTGCTTGGCGACACCAAGAGAGGGTAAGATCCACTTAGCCCCCCAACCCCCACCCAAACCCCATGAACTAGCTACAAATCTGTGCATACACCAGAATGGAGCCCAGTTTCCACAAAAGGAAATAGATGGAGTAAAAAATGAACTGCGGATGCTGGAAATCTGAAAGAAGCATAGAGAATGCTGGAGAAACTCAGCATCTTTGGAGAGAAAGCAGAGTTAACATTTCAAGTACAGTGGTCTAGAAGGAGGTTGGCCAGTTTCTATTTGGAGCTTGAGGAGCACAGCAGGCCAGCAGAACCTCCACACTGTGTTATCTCTGACTCCAGCATCGACAGTTCTTACTATCTCTATTTGGAGCTTTCTGCTTTAGGGAGGAACCAAGCACGGACTGTTGCTATTGGAGAAATGAGCCCATCATGGATTGTACTATTAGAGAAATGTGCCAGTTAGAAACTGTACACAGGCCAAGACGGGAAGCAGGGACCTATTTCAGCATGGTACAAGTTGAAATTGCATTTTTGTTGCTGCAGCTGGATGAGGAAGGGCGACAGCCTGTTCAACTATCTGAAAGTGGTATAGATTGACCACCCAATCCTGTCTGTTTTGGAGAAATTAAGCAACTAAAGCATGAAGCAGGCATTCAAAGGCGTGAATATTATTGAACAATTTGCTGATTGTATTAGCCAGAAATCAGTTGCTGTGACATTATATTCTGCATTCTGTTTTACTACCCTGATGTACTTATGTAAAGTTTGATTTGCCCAGTTAGCATGCAAAACAATATTTTTCATTGTGTCTTGGTTCATCTAACAACAATAAATTAAATCAGATCAAATCAAATAATAAATTACTGTTGCTTTGGGCAAAATTTTGAGTTTCATTGATAACCAGAGCAGACCTCCGAACAGAGATGGTAAGAATAGTTTACAGGTATAAAACAAATATGGTTTCTTTTGTCTTTCTCAGGAAAGAAAAAATGAAATGTAACAATTTGCTTAATTTGTGATTATAAATCATTTCTAGATTATCCCCTTTAATTATCACTATTTGCATAGACTTTGTGTCAATAACATGCAGAACACATGGACATAATTGCTAGTCAAATTATTTAATATCTATCTCATTTCCTTTTGCTGTGAAAATCTCCTTCCAAGCAGCCTGCTGACTGGACTATTATGGCTGATTCAACAAAATCAATTCGGCAGTAAAACAATTATGAAGTGTTTCAGATGAGTACTGTGCCTACTTGAGGTGCAGAGAGAGAGAAATAGCAGAAGAATTAAAGGTCGCAAATACATTGTATCCATGAGAAACGGACATATACTGAGTGGTCAAAGGGGGTAGTTTTACAACTATACTTTGATGCTTAGGCATTATAGGACTTCAGGCATGCGTGCAATTTTTGCAGTATGCTAGAAATTGACTCTTTTCTCGCCCAAATCCGAAAACTGCCTTTAAAAAAAAAATTAAAAACATTTTAAAAAAGTATTTTGCAAATAGTACCGTTAGTGTTTGATCCATGTTTTGTGTATAGTCAACTGTCCAAGAAAATAACGGGACTGGTTTTTCTTCAGTGAGAGAATGGTGGATAAGCGGCCATGATTTTGTGGCAAAACCTGTGTTTTTCACCCCTTCTACCACTGCTAAGGCCACTGGTCACTTATCCATCATTTATTAGGAGTGTCTATAGTTCTAGACCGAAACCCCTCATTGCCATTCAAAGTCACTGTCAAAGAAAAGGCGGTAGCAGGTCTATAAGTTTCAAAATTACTCTAGATGTAACAGTTGCCTCCTCTCTGTCCACAATCATCCAAAATGCATATTTTTAAATCTTCGGTCTTAAATGCTTCAACATTCACTGCCTGAATTTTCCTGTTCTGTAATAGGTGGTAATAACATAGTTAGTCTGCTGCATTTTACATTTCTAATTAGGCACATCCATTACCCAAGAAAGTAAGGAAGAGTTACATTAGTGGGTATGTGTACACTCCATCACTATCTTGCTGCCAAAGGACGAATCTAGTTCAATGTAGCCAGAATAAACTGGAAGAACTATTGAAGTGTTATGATTGCTCAGTCTCATGGTATTTGCTGGATCATGAATAACAGATTAGGAAATTTATTTTGGTGTTCTGCAACTTACTTATTCCTCATTGTTACCTTTTGCTACCTGTAAGGTGGATACTTAATTTTAATTTGTGCATAGAAACACAAATAGTAATTTAACATATTAGCAATTTGAACTTATCTTCTTTTGCCCAACAGATGCATGATACAATGTGATGTCTGGTAAACGTATTACCTTTGAAATGTTTGACATCACCACTGTGTACATGGCACAATGTTTTTAATAGGGTTAGATTTTCACGCCGACTAAATCCATGTAAATTAATCAGAAGAAATGACAAATATGGTTTCCATGGTAAAGTATGTCCATGCCACTGTTTATTTGTTTCACATAGTAGCACAATTTCATTTTAACAGTTCTGGGTTTTGTTTTCTGCACAATTTCATTTAGAAGATATATTAATGATTTATGTATTGATTCATGACATTTATAAAAGCCATAACAAACATATAGGTACTGCACCGAACACTTTACCAACATTTTGTTTACATTGCATACATAAAAGGGTAAGGTTTGTTAAGCTTTATTCATCATCTTTGTTAGCTTAGATAAATTCTGTCTGGTTAAGTAAAAAAAAAGTAATTTTACAGGTTCAAACCCTTGAAAGGGTAGTTTTCCAATTACACACTGTCAGTTTGCAGTCTTACCCGCTAAGAGTCCATTTTGAAATTTTGTGCAGATCTATCTCACATTTCTGGTATATGCTCCTACTGGATTAAAAGTGACTTGTTAGTTTTAACGTTATAATTTTTGTGTTTTTAACATCATCATGTTTTTCATTCCGAGCTCTAGATTACCAATTAATTAAAGGGAAGTATATTCTAAAAATGTCTCCATAGTTCTAAATACAATAATGTTTATACTAATATACTTTTAGCAACTTGACTTATGATTGCTATTGGGCAATCTGGAACCAAGAATTGCATGTGGAACTTGTCTTCATCGGGTTTCAGCTTTTTATGCTGCATTCCTGGATCTACACGTGCAATGCAGCAGCTAACTGACTGCATTGAATTTATTTCTCACTGGTATATTTCAATAACTATTCATTGCTGCCAAGGTGGCTTAGCTTTCTGTCAGGAGTTAAACCAATGGGACAATGCAATCGGCAACTCCACATTATAAAAAGATGTGTGCTTTTAAAGTGAATGCCTGGATAGTGAGACAACTAGTTATTTTGGTGAAGGTCAAATATTTTTCAAGCCTTGCCACGACTGATGAAAGGAGAAGGATCGGATAGAAAATAAGAAAAGAAAGATTTGATGTTACAAATAAGGTTCTGTGAACATACTGGGGCACTTGACATTTTTCCCTCCCTGTTTAACAGATGTCTAAACTAGGCGTGTAGTTGCACAAAGGTCTCCAATTTCATGCTGAAAGGCACCACTTCCAGAGAATAGCAGCATACTAATTTGGTGGTAAGCATGTTGAATACAACAAACGCAACTGATAGAAATACTTAACAGCGATTATACAAGTTGTGCATGTCCCAAAGATTCCTTGCTGCAAAGCATTTCACAGTTTTCACACAAATGCCTCACCCAACAAAGCTCTTACATAACTTTACAGGTCACTTTTGGTTGCATTTCATGCATACCTGTAACTTGTAGATAGAGTAGAATCAAAAATACTGTCAGACTCTCATTTTTCAAGGTCAGGCATCTTGTTTTAGGAATAAACAAAACTGCAAAATTCTCAGTCATTTACCGAAACCAAATTGGGGTACAACTCTGCACCAGATGGTCATTATGCATGAGCACCAATAATGACCATGCAACCAGACAATACTTTGAAAGCATAATTCTAAAGATGCAGAAGTGCCTGCCTGGCCAAAGACACAGGGAAAATGCACATCTTTATTGAAATTCTCAAGGTGCTCAGGCTGCACTACTCGAGTACGTATGCGGTCGGTGAGTCTGGGCAATTTCTCTTATGTAAAGCAAATTGATCCTCTGAAAATGCAAACTGTCTTCTAGTTTTTGAGGGCAAGAGAAATTTTAAAAGAACTAGCCATCAGTTTTGACTTTTGAATATTGTGGTAAAATTCCCTTGAATTGAAAGTAGTAAGAGACAAAAAAGTTTTTAAAAAAATTAGATTAAAACACCAGTTGAAACAACAAATGCAACAAAACAGAGGGTCACTCCATCAGTTGAACACAGAAGATTAGCAAGAACTTTCTGCATGCCTCTATTGCAATGGCTGCCCAATCCAGGGTGTCTTCTATTAAAGGCGTAGTCCCATGACTGTGAATTCCCAGCTCAAACCATTGGAAGAGTCAACTGGGAAACACGCCTCCATTTAAATATTATCCAGCTCTTTATTGACGCTCATTGGTGTATGACTATAAGTATCTTGCTCCTCCAGTACAGCTCTGAGAAACCTCTGAAAGTACATAAACTGTACGTTGTAGCATAAAGTCCTGCCCCCAGAAAATATTTATGTTAGTGGAGCAGAACTTCAGTCCCCAATTTATAACGTGTTGTTAATGTAATAGCATGTCCCAGAGTGTTTTAAAGAGGAGTTACAGTGAGCCATGGAAGAAGATATTAGGAAAGATGGCTAAAAGCGTGGATAAACAGTTAGGTTTTCACAGAATGTCATAGAATCTTAGGCAAGGTCTTCCAGACTTTAAGGCTTGATAGAGGAATTGACATTGGGATGCAGAAAAAGGCCAGAATTGAAACACACATATATTGGAGAGTTTTGGGGCTGGAGGAGATCTGAGATTTGGGAACGGTTGAGAACATGGAAAATATGACAGGATTAGAATTTTTAAATCGAGATGTTGCTCACCTGGGCCCCAAAGTAAGTCAGCATACACAGGAGAGATGGGTGAACAGGACATAAGTTACTTATGTCCTTATTTAAACTAAGTACTGCTCAAGTTTACCAATGGCAAAGTATTGGAGGTCAGCCAAGTGTGGGTTGGAATGGTTAAGTCTATAAGTAACAAAGGTATGAATGAGGGTTTCAGCAGCAGATGTGCCGAGGTAGGGGTCGAGTTGGTGATGTGGAAATTTTAAATATTAGAAACTTCATGCCTTGCTTAGTAACGGTGGAAACTCTTGTTTGAACACATCTCACACTATGGAAGGATTTCGCAATTGGCTATGGAAATCATTCAAATGACTAAAACTCGTAGTGACCAGGTGGCTGAATGAAAACTGAATGCTGAATCATTCTCTTGTATGGTATGGGGCACTTTGTGTAGAGTGTACTTCCCTGTTAAACCAGTTTAGCAATGCAAGGGAGAATGCTGAGAAACAGTGTTGTCAAGAATGACTCCAACTGTTTTCAAGTGAGTTACAAATTATGGTACAGTTATTTTAGCATTGACATTAGATCACAAGCAAGATTTCTTAAATGCCACATTTTATTAAATAGAAAACAAAACAAGGCCTATGCATTTTCTATTTCTCCCCTTTTAAAAAGGATAGCATGTTTTGTGACTTAAAACTTACTGATGCAGTTTGACATTTCTTTTTCTCTCCTGATATGACATTCATTAAATGACATCAATTCAAATGTTTATTGGATTCCTATGAATATAAATCTCAATTGCCAATAAGGTGCAAGTGGAAAAGCTGTAAAAACAGTTTAAAAATTCGCTATCACATTTTTTCATAGCTGGTGACAATTTGTAAAGTGGAGTTGCTACTTTAGGTATTGCAGGAAAAAGCCAAGCTGAGGCCAGAGACACTTACCAATGGATATTCTTAATTGCCTGCTGTTCCTACAAAATCTTCTTGTCTGTTGAAGAATTTGCTGAGCGCCATGTTTGAGTAACTTGCTAATTATAGATCCTGAATCCATTTACTGCTAAATATTGCTGCAGTTTGAGGTATTTAGTCCTTTTTAAAATGATTTTTCAAGGTTCAAAGAATTGAGGGAAAAACTTAACTGGACACTAATACCGTTCATTTTTGTGAAGTAAGCAAGTTTGTAATGCAGACTGTTCTCTGATCATATATTCCATTGCCAATATTGTCAAAAATTAATGTTTCAGATCTGATACAATGATTAGAGGAAAAAGAAATAGTTTATTATAAACATGGGATTTTAGTTTCATTCCCAATAAGTGGAACACATTGCAAGCTCCAGTGGAACATGAACAATAATAGCTTATTTTAATGCAACACGATACTGATAAACAGGCCTCCAAGGAATGAATTTAAGATGGTAATGAAATTGCGCACACTTCACTTTTGGCAGTTTTCATATTAATTTAAACCTTTTTTTTGCATATGACATTCTCATGCACACAAGTGTTTCAACACAAGAAGCAAGTCCATTTAAAGGTAGTCCAAGCACTTTGTTTTTGTGTGTGTGTGTGTGTGTCTGTGTCTGTGTCTGTGTTTGTCTCTGTGTGTGTCGATGTAGCTGCAAACTGAATGAAACATCTGAATTTTGTGCAGTCCATTATATGCATTAATGACGGCTCATTTCTGAATGTCACATTGCAGGAGTAACACAATTGAAGGATCGCTCTTTGCTGCTTCTTTGAATTCATCCAATGTAATCTGGTCATCATTGTTCTTATCCATCTTACTGAAAATCTTGTCAACACGCTGCTCGGGCGTCAAACCATCTTCATTCATTTTCATCATTATGACAGTTCCGACCATTTTATATATAGCCTTCATGGAACACATACAAAAAAAAAGAACAAGTCATTTAATTTAAAGTGAAAATCAAAGCAAAACACACATCTTGCATTGTTTTGAACTTTGTGTTCTAACTATATGGAAACATTGCTTGAAATATATGGAACACATCTGGAACAGTCAAAAGTGAAGTGCACAGCTTTTAAGAAGAAGCTAGATACAAGGGAGGGTAACAGAAACAAAGTTATGTTGATCGGGTCAGATCAGGTGGGATGAAGTGAGGTTAATGAACAGCATATGCACACCATCATTGCACTGTTGTGTTGAGCAATCTGTTTCTGTGCTCACAGTTTTTTGTAATTGTATGCAATGACTCAGGCTTTCACTCTTTTTAAACTTGCGGCATTACGTGAATTAAAGAACAGAATAACATGCTGGAAGGGGGTTATTAATGTATAACACTTAATATCTGACAGCAATAGTTGACATGTTTATGAATTTCAACAGGATATTGGACAGGATTATCTTAAATTTGCACACTTTAGTTTTATATCGAGCTTGCATTTTGGAGCATTAGTTTCCTGTGATGCATGTTGGTGGAATTTAAGTTCACACCTGCTTTCCCTTCACACACAACAGTTCCCTTTCTGAAAGGGAAAAGGCTAAGTTGAAGCCGGTCACTTTCCCAAGGGGATGAAGAGAGAAGAGAGAGGGTGAATCACTCTGTTACATTTCATAGCAAGTGAATTTCAACTACCATTGACAAAAATCACATTCCCATTTGTCTACAATGGACTATGTATAATACTGAGTGAACAACAAAGAGAAACAGGAGCCTAGATCTTAGAGGAGCTGCTGAATTGCTGCTCCTGTTCCTAAGTTTCTAACCTATGACCGGGCTTAGCATTCTAGAGGGGACTTCCAAACTCGGACTCTTTAAAAGGCACAGAGTGGTGTTCCATTGGGGTGTTTCTTCATACTGCAGGGTTGTCATGGGAAGCTAAACCAACCTCTTTTTTCATTACACCAAGTGCTGTATTCTGGTAAGTCTTCATTCACAAGCAAACTGTAATTCTTTGGGGGATTTAAACATTTGTGGTGTATTAATGAATGAGTGTGAGCGAGGTAGCTGGGAAAGTGCCAGCCAAGAAGGTGGCAATGATTAGCAGCAGTGTGGTTGGGTAGATCTGTATAGGATGGCCGTGTGGTAGACTGGCAGCTGGGTAGGCTGGTGTTTAGGTAGCATGATGAAGTTGGAATGGTGGGCAGCATTCCTCTAAATTTCTTTCTGCCTACAAAGGCCTCTGAGGTCCATACACGGCAGTGACAAATGGAACTGGAGGTCAATGCTGTGATCAGTGTGCCGATGCCGATCGCCATGGACAGAACATCAGAAGGGGTCAGAGTGCTGTTTGAAGATCAGGGGAGGAGTCAGATGGTAAGGTACATGTCAGAGGTTTGGGTGGGTGGTACAGGCCAGGTTAAAAGGTGGGGTGGGGCAGAGAGAAGGTGTTGGGGAACACATTTCAGTTGTAGGAGTTAAACATAGCTTTAATTTGTTTAGCTTTAGGCATACCTTTCCTCGGTCTCTGACTCTAAGTCAGAGTTGAAGAAATTCACACATGGTTCCAGGGAGCTGGGAAATTGCTCATAAGTTTAAACTTCCCATTGAATTCCCACAGACTTGATGAAGCGGGACTTCTCAGGGGTACTGATGTATCGCTTTGGAGGTGGGGGCTGGAGGTGTGACAGAGGTATGTCCAATTTCGAACTATCCCGAGACTGAAAGATCTGGAATACTTATTGCTCTAATGATGCTAATTGTGAAGGTTTTGAAGTCTATGGAGTAAGTAATCTACTCGTATTCTTCTATTACCTGAACTGTTCTCATGCTGTAGAAAAGACCATATTTATATTGTATATACATATATACATTACTATATTTATCAAATATTTGAGATCTCAATGACGTTATCGATGACTTTATTCCCATTTTAGGCACTGCTTACAAAACACCCCAGTCAGATAACAGTAACCCCAATGTGGAGACGCAATACAAACTCAGTGAGCCAATGTGAAGTATTTGTGGGTAGAAGACTTCTGCCACCAATCCTTTTTACTTTGATCAGGCCTAGGAACCTAATGGGTTTACAACGGTGGGGTTATCAACCATTAGCTGATGTCATGATAACAATCAAGTACAAATTCAGGAGATTATGAGACATTGTTACCAAGATAATGAGATCTATAGGCTTAGGTCTATATTCCATGAGATCCTAAGATGTTCTGCATTACTGTATCCCCATCCAAGCCAGAATTACATCATCAGATTGAGTGGAGCTTAATGCAATTTCCAACTTTAACCCTTTCTTTATCGTAAACAATTGAAATGATCTATCATAGGAACACAGGCAACAACAGATGAAAAATAGTCCATGATCTATCTGGTTCACAATCCTAATTAGTCACAGCATACAATAAGAAGGCACACTGGCTGGAAGATTGTCCTGTTAAAGTGCAAACAATGAATGAGTTGCATTGACATTAATGGCAGTTTCTTTGACCCATGCTCCTAATTCTACAAAGGGATCATTTGACGACTTTGGGGGTCTTGGAGTGTATGTTGAAGTGGGGAGCAGGGAGTACATCATGAATCCACATCTACCATAAGATCTATGTGAATTTGGACCAAACTCTCCATGATTCCTTTAACCATATGACCAGCAAATAGTTTACAATGCCTAAATGGATTTCCCATGTGTGCAAGGATCCCTGTACAAAGCACACAGCCAAAACATGCCAATAATAACTCAGTATTTACAAACTAGTGGAAATATATAGCGATATCGATATTGGCACACTGTCAGGGTTTGAAAGGTCATTTCTTCAATTTTTCACAAGATTGATGAAACAATCAATATCAAATGGATCACTACTGTGGTTTTCCTTATTTTAAAAAAATGTTTTTTTCTGAACACTAAACATTGTACCCAATTGGAAAAAAATTAACTTTTCTGTTTCAAGTGTTCAGTTCCCTGGGAGCAACAGTGGGACCAGAATGGAGCAAACCTAAATCCAGGGGCAAAGCTCCCGAGATGATATCAGGGGCTAAGAAGTGACAAAGGGCAAGAGGATTGGCTGCTTAGGAACCAACTTTAGACACTGATTGAGTAGTACCGGGAGGGAGACAGAATGTAAAGTCCATATTTTTGTTGTTGGTAGTTAAGAATTGAGAGAGAGAGAGACAGATAGAGAGAAATCTGATTTGGTGAGTAAGACCATAAGACATAGGAGTAGAAATTAGGCCATTCCACCCATCGAGTCTGCTCCACCATGGCTGATAAGTTCCTCAACCCAATTCTCCCGCTTTCTCCCCATCACTCTTGATCCCCTTGACAATCAAGAACCTATCTATCTCAGTCTTAAATGTACTCAATGACCTGGCATCCACATCTTTTGGTGGCAGCGAATTCCATAGATTCACCACTCTCTGGCTGAAGAAGTTTCTCCTTATCTCTGATCTAAAAGGTCTTTCCTTTACTCTAAGGCTGTGCCCTCAGGTTCTAGTCTCTCTTACCAATGGAAACATCTTCCCAACATCCACTCTGTCCAGGCCATTCAGTATGCTGTAAGTTTCAATTAGATCCCCCCTAATCCTTCTAAACTCCATCGAGTATAGATCTAGAGTCCTCAAACATTCCTCATTTGTTAAGCTTTTCATTCCTGGGACCATTCTCGTGAACCTCCTCTGAACCTGCTCCAGGGCCAGTACATCTTTCCTGAGATATGGGGCGCAAAACTGTGCACAACACTCGAAATGTGGCCTGACCAGAGCCTTATGAAGCCGCCGAAGTGTATCCCTGCTTTTATATTCAAGTCCTCTCAAAATAAAATGCCAAAGTTGCATCTGCCTTCCTAACTACTGACTTAACCTGCAAGTTTAGCTTGAGAGAATCCTGGACTAGAACTCCCAAGTCTCTTTGCACTTCAGACTTCTGAATTTTCTCCCCATTTGGAAAATAGTCCATGTTTCTATTCTTCTTAACAAAGTGCATGACCTCACACTTTCCCATGTTGTTCTCCATCTGCCACTTCTTTGTCTACTCTCCTAACCTGCCCAAATCCTTCTGCAGCCTCCCCGCATCCTCAATACCACCTGTCCCTCTACTATCTTTGTATCATCTGCAAACTTAGCCAGACTGCCCTCAGTTCCTTCATCTGGATCATTAATGTGTAAAGTGAAAAGTTGTGGTCCCAAAAGTTGTGTCAACCACAACTAGTAGATAAGGTTGAGTAATTGGCTCCTGGGCTATTGCTTGTAATTGATATGGTTCACAATGGCAGCAGAACTTCTACCCATGGAATGCTCCTCCTGCAAAAAGTGGGGAAATCAGGGACACTTCCAGTGTCCATGGTGACCATGTATGCAGAAAGTGTATCCAGCTGCAACTCCTGACTTGCCATATGGAGAGCCTGGAGCTGCAGATGGACTCTCTATAGAGCATCTGTGATTCGGAGGAAGTCATGGATAGCACATTTAGTGAGCCAATCACACCACAAGTAAGACCTATAGATAACAAGGTGTAGAGCTGGATGAACACAGCAGGCCAAGCAGCATCAGAAGAGCAGGAAGGCTGACGTTTCGGGCCTAGACCCTTCTTCATTTTCTGATG